ACACTAACATTCATTGATTGATGAACTTATGTATTTTCCCTTTTTTTCTTCTAAAAATGAGTATGATAGCTAGATATTGGACGAAAAAATCATGACGTAACAAGACATTGTCCCGTACAATATTCCTAAACAATATCGATAGCCATTTTGTAATTTCGTACAAAAACAATCATAATCGGTTTAGCCTTTTAGGTAGGTACACTCTAACAAACAGACTTTAATATTTAATAGTACTACCTTCCTTCTCGTGGTATGATATTAAAAAGCAGCCAGTGTGTTAATCCAGGGTATCACCTACTACTTTTAGGTACTTGCAGAGTCACGAGAGCCGCGTTCTGATTGGACAATCGCGCGACGCTTTCATAGCACTACTGCCACTACGTCAGCCCCCGAGATTTTGTACTTAAGAATATTATACGCTCCTATTTCTACACTTCTACTCTTGTTTTATTTTAACACAAACCCAATAGGCGCAGCCGTTTTGCGTGAAAAAATAACAAAACATACATACATCTATACATTGACACATAGGTACTTTCACATTTATAATATTAGTATAGTATAAGTATTCGTTTTATTAAGCTTACAACTACTTCAGAAACAGATGTGCTTATGTCTGAATACACAATCAATCCTTTCATTAAACTGATACAGAGATAAGAGCTATGTAATTATTAATTATCTGTTACATTGTCCATTGCTCTGAACGGCTCATTCATTCACTCAGATACCAATCATTTTATTATCTATATCCCACGTTGTATCATTCAGGTCAATGACATTATTATTATTTTTATTTTGTTAAAAAGGTCTCTTCTCACACGGAGAAGATTTGAGCATTAATAACAGCGCTTGCCCAAGGCGGATTGGCGTTGGAACTTATAATTGGAAATTATAAGTCCAGGTTTCCTCACGATGTTTACCTTTACCGTATGTCAGTGGTGTCTAAATAATCATAGAAAGTACATATAACTCAGAAAAAGTCACATTGGTACAAGTTTCTAACACGCACCCTCATGCATGAGAAGCGGGCGTCGCGTCTTAACCTCCGGGCTACCACAAAAAAAAAGTTAAATACACACTTTTCTCTAACTTCATAATTCCGTATAGGTGAAGCGAGAGGGAGTGTCAGACTCTTACTGACTAAAAACCACCTTGTTCCTTCTTCTGCTCTGGAGCTGAGGCCGCGGTACCTTACAGTACTTCTAGCGCAACCCCGGCTGGTTCTATTAGTGCAATTTTCATCTATTTTCATCACATACTAAGAACTCATTGTTCTTTTTTCTTCTCTTCTTTCTCTCTGTCAGACGTGCTTAAACTTCCTATTCTACTACTACTACATAATCTAAACTCGTATTACTGTTTACAAACTGATAAGGCAATGATTAAATGTCATTAACTCTTTGTCAGTTATCAATAGTGTGATAAGAATGTTAACTAATGTTTATGATTCGATTTCAATAATTGTTGTTATGGGCGCCCATTGAGATTTTGTTTGGGAAAGCTTCTTTATTATTTAAATTGAGTATTATAGACATATTCAACAGATGATCAAATTAAAATAAAATAAGGATTTTTTTTATAATATTATTATACTAGGATTTTCTGGTGGCTACAAACATACAATTTCACATCACGCCAAAATCCGGTAACCTCAGACATACGGCGAAACATAACGCTGTTCTGTTATTATTTCACGCCGATCTTATTTGAGGCCGTTGTATAACTCCGGTCGAGCCGACCTATTCGTGGTGAAGCATTGATCGACGAAGTTTCCATGAACTAAGTACTCTTATCATAAATTTTCCTTGAAAAACACTTGGTTATCGGAAGATACCTTTCATTATGAATAATGCATATATTTTGGTTAATGACAACTTTAGCAAAAATACATTTGTATACGTAAATGGGACATTAAAGAAAATGGCTTCTGAAAAACGTTGGTGATGATGAATCAAACGGATTTCCTGAAAACTCGTGAATAATGGTCTTAAAATAACGAGGACGCTTTTCTTAAATGGATCGTATGCTTCATATGGGACGTGATTTTTGTAATTCAAGTATGGGAAAGCCAAGCTTCGGCACGAATGGGTCGGCTCGACCGGAGTTATACCCCGGCCTTACTGAAAACCGGCGTGAAACAACCACAGCATTGTGTTTCGCCGTGTGAGTGAGGTTCCCGAAGGCCCAATCCTTCCCCTACCCCAATCCCTCCCCATTCCCAAAATCACCAAATCCCTAATCCCCAAAAGGTCGGCAACGCACTCGTAACTCTTCCGTCGTTGTGGATGTCCATGGGCGACGCTGATTGCTTACCATCAGGTAATCCGTTTGCTCGTTTGCCGACCTATTACATAAAACAATGATGATGATGAAGTACGTACAATAGTGTTTCATGATTTTTTGCTTACCATAAAAGGACAAAGGCGTGACTATTATCCATTTCATACATACATTTGTAAATAATGGAAAGCACATTATGTAAATCGACCAATACCTATTCAAAATTGATCATAGACCAGTGAACATACAGACAGACAATGTTATAAATGACTATACATAGACATAACAATATGATTTCAATGTAACCTCGATGGTTCAGTGGTTGCAAGGACGTCTGGAGAACTCAAGGTCCAGTAATGCTTATAGGATAGGTAATAGAAAACTGTTTTAGAAAAATATTTTTGATTTCGTGCAATTTTCAGAGTAATTTATAGATCTAGATACATATATTGTTTTATGTGATAGGTCGGCAAACGGGTATTACCTGATGGCAAGCAATCGGCTCCGGCCATTGACACTTGCAATAACAGAGATGTTAAGTGCACTGCCAGTTTTTTAGAGATTAAAGTTTTGGAGATTAGCAATTAGGGAGAAGGGATGTGGGAGAGGACTGATTGGGCCTTCGATAAGTAATCTCATTCACACGTCGAAACGCAAAGACGTGGTTGTTTCATGCCGGTTTTCTGTGATGTCGTGGTATCATTCAGGTCAAGCCGACCCATTTCTAACGAAGCAAGGTTCTCAACATTTAAATCAATTACTTTACTATACTTACAAACTTTCACTTTGGTATTAATAGGTAAGTAGGAGTAAAGTATACTAAATTATTCATCCAAACATTTCTCACTATCTATTGGTATCAACCGTACAAAAATCAGTCCAGTAGTTTTTGAGTTCATCGCGTACCTTCACACAGAATAACGCTACAGAGGTTTATTGGTAGGTAAGAAATAAAACTCAAATCAAAATAACACGAAACCAAATCGTACGTTAATCGATAACGCTTTCCTAAACTGAATAATAAAACTCGTAAAGCAATAAAATGTTAACTAAATCAAAAGAAAATCGTAAACAAAATAAAAAATAAACGCACGCAACGCAACCTAACTGCATGCGGTTATCTAACTATCACAAGTACAGTTAGCAACCAAAGTTAATGAATGTGTAACATTTTTTCTAAAACACTAGCTACTCTCACGCTGTTTCACCCGCTTCTCGGCTCTGTTTGATCGTAGCGTGGTGTTTTATAGCCTATTATAGCATGTTTATAGAACAGCAGTTTTATAGAACATTGTAGCTATGTATCCGTGAAAGAATTTTGGTAATCCGACCAGCGGTTCCAAAGATTACCCCTTACATACAAACTTACAAATTTTACCTCTTTATAATATTAGTATAGAAGTATAGATTAACAATCATAATTATCGTCGTTTTTTAGGTTTAATATCTCGTTTATATAGTTATTCCTATTTTAAGGGCTGATTTTTCAATAGTCATATAAATGTTATATGAGGAATAAATGTAATACTAAGTGAGATTTTTTATTTTTTATAATTTTTTTGTACATAAATGTTCCAATTTCAAATGCATTATTAAGTCGCTGTTTAAAAGGAAATTGATTAATTTTTTTAAGAATAGTTTTTTTAATACTTAATTGAATCTTCATATAGCATTACGGTAATTGTGAACTAGTCAAAACACTCATCGAAATATCAAAAATTATAAATATTTTGTTAATAATCAATTAATTTTTTACTGAAAAAAGGACGAGTAAGAAAAACGTCGATTAGTAATGAAATCCACCACGAAAGATCTTGTCACAAACTTTTTTTTTTTTAAATCTTGGTCAAAACTCATTTAAACATTTTATTTTACATACTTTTGAAGTTGACTGTACTTGTAGTAGGTACATGTATACACAAACGTACACAAACCACAATAATATATTCGTGCGGGCAACTAGCAATTTCTCGCTCTACTGACTACTCCCATACGGCGCTAGATTGCAGATAATATGCCACGCAAAACCAATACCTATGCTAATTTGATAGAGTTGAGAATAGCAGATATTATTGAATAGAATTATCTAATCTAGACAAAAGGAAATTAAATGTTTCCTACAAAATATTGCGGTAAGGAAAACATATTTATACCGTTGTACAATTGATGCTAGCGCAATCGGTACTTATAATTTTCAATCGTAACTTTAGGTTCTAATTACTTATAAACGCATTTTATTATAAGTTAGCCAATGCCGTGATGGTTGAGTGATATTTTACAGCCGTCTATAATAAATAGACTATCCAAGAATATTAAAGATAATAGATCAATTCGAACCAGAAGTTCCAGAGATTAGCACGTTCAAACAAACAAACAAAAAAAATCAGCAGCATAGTAATAAAACATTGAAAGAATATTAGTTTTATTTTTTATACGTTTTGAAATATGTTTTACTGATGGACCCGTGGAAATTGTTTATAACCATTCCAGGAAGTTTCAGTTTTCGAATATAGAATTTTATAGAAACGCCTATAAGGTGTCAAACGTGTGTCAAACGCATAAATTAATCACATTGACTACAAAGGTTATAAAGATAGGAAACATTGAAATAAGTACCTCCATATGCAAGTAACACGGTTTATAATGGATTTGACATTAGAACCGCTAGCCACCGTTAATTCAAATCCTTATTAAACAAAACGAAAGTAAAAACTGACCTCAAAGCGCTGCCTTGCTCCCTCACGTCAACACCATTGATTGGCTCCTCAGTCCTCGCCTGCAATCCGGACATTTTCCACCAATAAGAACGCGTTAATCACGCGCTCCGCCAATCAGAGCGAAGCTCGTGACATTACGGAGAGGTATCCGCCAATTGCATCGCGGGCACCGCCAATCGGATCATCTGGAAAGGATATTTGGAATTAGAATTCGGCGCGTGCGCAGGTTTATCGTATAAGGCGGCAGGAAGTTATGTTTTAAACAGTTATGTAACTGTTTAACTGTTAGTTGAGGATATGGCTATAAATTATGCTAATTGAGTGCAGGTGTTCCGTTGAGTTGTGTTAGATACGATATTTTTCTTTAATATGAAGTTTCAGCTTGAAATACAGATTGTTTTTATGTACATAGTGAGGACTCTTAGGATGCAAAGAATCAGAGTCTCACGACCACATTCCTTTTCCTGTTTTTTGCCAGGCCGCGGTATAACATCAACATCGCAGTAATATCTATCCTGACCTAGATATTAACTTAAAATTACATACACTTAATATTCATTTTCGAGGATCGTAAAGTTAGAACAGTAATTTTTATATGCACGATGACATCATAATAGAAACAAGAGGTCGGAGCGTCATACATTTATTTACAACGCCCGGGTCGATGCACTATCCATTAGGTTTGGCGACTAGTAACGTAAGTACAATCGACAGATACACTGCTGCACCTAACATATCTCACACATTAAATTCTAATAGGATTATCGATAGAGTAAAACATGTCTGTGTCATTTTTCCTTTTTAAGAGAGAGAGAGAGAGAGAGAGAGAGAGAGAGAGAGAGAGAGAGAGGAAGAAACAGAGATATTTTTTTTAGTACCTTTTCCCACCAACACGCTAATCAAGTTTGAAGAATATAGTAAACTTTTCTTCTGTATGTTGTTGAGTGAATTCGTAGCGAAAATTGATACATTAACTGTATCATTAACGTTTTGTAACTATATTTGCCTTTTTAAAGAAGGAGAGGGGGAAATCATCAGATAACTTCTCTTGCCCTAGATGGGATGAGAAGCAGTGTCAGAAACTTAATAACCACCCTTTTCCTTCTTCGGCTCCGGGCCGAGGTCACAGTACATTAACATTACCATTTTGCGTTTGAATCGAATGTTTTACATGTGATGACCCTAGTAAATAATGTAGCTAAAAATAAATACTATCATAATAGTTGCTGAGTTACTTATCAGCTCTTAATTGACCTATTGCTAAACTAAACGGGGTGTTGTATGATAAGACACGCACATCAAGTAGTTATAAATGTAATGTTTATTTATGTATTTTGGATGGTATGAAGCTGTTCGAAGTGTGTCCGTTATTTACAATTTACGTGACGTCAATTAATATTCGAAGTTTGAAAAAAAACAGCTGATAAATGTAAGACATTTGTAAGTGTCAATTATAAGTTTTAATTGAAATAGAATGTACTCGTATAAGTGATTTTTTAGGTTATTGCTTTATGGGTAATTTTTAATATATAAGTTTATTGTCTAAGTTTACTTTTATTTCAGATTAGAGCAAAATAAGTTATTTTTATGTGATGAGACGGCAAACGAGTACTACCTGATGGTAAGCAATCAGCGCCGCCTATGGACACCTGTAATAACGGAGGAGTTACAAGTGGTTTGCCGACATTTTTGGGGATTTAGGGATTGGAGGAAGGAAGGATTAGGCCTCCGGTAACACACACGCCGAAACACAACGCTATGGTTGTTCCACGCCGGTATTCCGTGAGGCCGTGGTATCACTCGGGTCGAGCCGACCCATTCGTGCCGAAGCGTGGCTTTCTCACACTTAAGTAATAACGTATTTATATGTATTAAATTAAACACTTTCCATATAACTATTTTTTCTACCTCGAACCGCCAAAAAATATTTGTTGGAGTTTTTTGCGTTCTATTAACTTTTCACTAACTACACCAGTAACCATAAATTTTGTCGATAGTACCAGATGTCTTATGCCCGGTTCCTATAATTGAGAAACGATCCGTTTTAGTTACGAATAGTAGTTTTATATACGACTCGTAAGCTAAAACCGTTCCTATAACAAACGTCTCGTCGTGCAACTTACTGACGGTTTGCAACTAACGGATGTCGGTAAGCGAATTGTATGGAGATCTATGGTGTCTGTGGTGTTCCTATAAATATTTTAACCGTCAGTAGACGGTCAAGATAACTATTCGTAATGTCATTTGGTCGTAATGCGTATACAACGACGATTCGTTAAATATAGGAACCGGGCATTAGTAAACTATCACACTTTATGAGCAAATGTCCCGGTTATCTCAGAATGTTCTAAATAACAGATTTATGGCGTGTCTTGGAGATAGGCAGCCAGTAGCCGTTGTAGATGACCTACTCTAGATCTAACGGCATGCTTAGGGCCTTAAGTCAGATATGCAAATTGTGTTGACGTCATAGAGTGGCAAACGAGCAAGCGGATTATATGATGGTAAGCAGTCGGCGCTGTTCATGGAAAGCACCAGAGGAGTAACAGGCATTTTGGAGATTTTGGGTTTGGGGAGGGTATATCTACAAAATGTTATTTTGAACAAGGGACATCTTCAAGGACCCAATTCTTGCACTCAAATTAACTTAAAATTTTCAATGGACCAATATCGAAGTCTTAAAAATAAAGTTATTTCCTCATACAAGATGCAACTGCTGATTTATAATTTTGCATTAACAGATATCCATATTGTTCTTATGAAAAAGTTGTTTTATTGAAGCACCAAAATCGAGTCCTTGAATACGTGTCTTGTTCAAAATAGCATCCTGTATACACCATATCATATCTCTAATCTAACATCATATCTCCATCTCTATAAAACACAATAACACATATGAAAAACAACGCTACTTTAAAGTTTAAAGTTCTCAATATCCTATTCGAGTAGGAAACAGGCCATGCGTGGGCGCAGAATTGAACAAGTGTAATGGTGACCTTAAGACCTAATTGTGTAGCTGTATTATGGCATATTAGTCATTGAAGCTTCCTGTTTGAACTGGCTACAGCATAGAATCAAATTTACTAGTACCCGAATATGTTGATCTAACCTTAAGTAGAAAATAGTAAAAAAAACCGAAACGAAGAAAAGGCGTAAAAAAACCTTTAAGTATTACTTAAACTATTCGAAATTCAAATAACATTATTCGATTCGGTTTTGATAGCGTAGTTTACAGCCTGGAATAGTGTAGCTTCTCAACAGTGAAAGACTTTTTTAAATCGCCTAACAATCAAACCTTTCCTCTTTACATTAGTAGGTAGACGAAAACCTAAACAAAACACAATCTTTTAAACTCTTCAAAGCATATTTAACAACTTACAATAAAACAAAAACTCAACTAAGTAGCTGCCACTACGGAAATCGCATTCCAATTTCGTAATTCAAATTCAAAAATACGAATACAAGAAAGGAATTCCATTAGGAAAAGTAAACGATTTTTGACGTGAGGGCAACGCATCTTGATGTCAGTCCGTCGTTTTCCGGCGTCGAGGCTAGACGTGAGCCATAAATATTGGATTAGGTATTTTTCGATGGGAAACCCGACGTCGAGCATTAGGTACGGCAAAAAATATCTGCACTAACTACACAATCCACCCAAAAGATATTGAGTACCTAAAAATTATGATGTGACACCAAGTTATTAATATGCCTATTTTAAGTACACTTTGCTCATAAAAACTCAATACACAAATAACCTGTCCATCTAAGTTACCTTCGTTCCAGGATATAAAGTTCCTATCATATACATCCTACATAACTGGAACGTCCATACTCCATACTAAATAGCTATTTCCTACTAAATCCACGTACGATATTGTTGATTAGGTATTTTTCGTTCCAAGCCCTAATCCTAGGATTAAGTGTCGAATAAAATAATATGGGTGAAATTGGGTATTGAATAAATATTAGGATTAGGTATTTTTAAATACTAGGTGGAACAGGTACCGATTTTTCCTAATCCAACCAATGTCTAGTCGGGGCTAGGGTTACCATATCTCAGGATTTGTCCTATCAGGAATTTTCGGATTGCGGAGGATTGCGGCTGGATTTTGCAAATCTTGTAATATCTCAGGATTTTCAATAAACACAGGTTAGGTAAAAGATCGTAATTCAACCTTCTTTTATAAACAATTATTACAGTTAAAATCCATACTTATTTATCCAAGTAAAACCAACTAAAACATATTTTTTTTTCGTAAAAAATGCAGTTAAGATCTACTTATTAACAAAGTATTTCCAAGTAGGCTTTTTCTCCGGTCTGATTTATTCATCTGGTAACCCTAGTCGGGGCCTCGTTTCCCGAAGTCAGGGTATTTCATCATCGGTGTTACCAGATTGGATGCCAACTTCCTACATTTCATCTGCAGACGCATCTACTCTCTATAATTAGAATGGACGATAGAAAGCTCTGATATATGCGACTCAATTAGTTGACTATCTGTTTATTGGTTGTAAAACTGAGAACTTTTCTGACTTTAGTACATTCTAGAAAGAGCTAATTTTGTAAAAACCACTGCCTTACCAAACCGGCGTGAAGGAACACTCAAATTGTGACTGCTTTGCGGTATTAGAATTCAGTACTTTTTTCGAATTGTAAAAAAGTTCAAGTTTGAGGAATAAGTCGTAGAATAAAGCGTGAGGGAGCCATGCTTCGGCACGACTGGGCCGGCTCGACGTGATACTACGGCCGCAGAGAAAACCGGCGTAAATCAAGCATAGTTGTGAAAACAAGCGTTGTGTTTCGCCATGTGAGTGAGTTTACCGTAGGCCCAAACATTTATACCCCTTAAAATTAAAATCAACGCGATAATATATTCCAATACCACCTAGAATTAGGAAGCCATATTTCCACGTAAACCGGTGTACATTACACAGTTAAAATAATCTGATATAATCGAATATTTTTTAACATTTTTCACCTGCGGTGCACAGGTGCAACAAATGTATGGTTTCCATGGTAACCGAATAACAATAAACGTTATACAGACCTCCTTTTTAGGGTTATTTTATGACCTGGGTAGCCAAGGTCGAATGGTAATCAATGATTCATTCATGGGACGTTATTGGAACAGAATAATTGATTTGATGGTGTCCATTTTTGCAATGATATTTCGTCACACTATGG